GGGTCCTTGGACCCTTAGGCCCTGAACCAACCCTGGAACCCCTAAGCCACCGGACTCTGAGAACCGTTGCAAGCATATGTAACGCTCTGTGACGCTCCTTAGGGTTTAGGGTTTAGGGTTTAGGGAGCGATGCTGAGGAAAAAGGGAATCACGTCATGAATTTCAGGCCTCTACATGCAATCTTACCCAAAAACGAACCTTCAACTCCACATCCGAAGAAGCCTTAAAGGCTTCCAAACTAATAGAGTCATAGCCAAGTACAAGATCGTCAGCGACGCGTGGACCATAAAGCTTCCTCTGTAAACTCTGAACCACTCCTGAAAACTGTGAACCCGAAATCCCCAGACTCTGATCACTAAGTCCTAGAACCTAAGCTCCTAACCCACAATCCCTAAGACTCTGAACGACAAGCCTCAATCCCAAACCCCATTACCTAAATCCTACAAAGAAAGGTTGGCGTCATCTGCGCATGCCCCAAACCTTTTTCTCCGAGCCCTCTCCCCAAAACCCCAAAGCAAAACCTCCTTCTCTTACTCTGGAAGCCCTAAAACCTTCCCTAAACCCCAAGCCTCATTTGAAACCCTAAGCCCCAAACCCTAAGCCCCACACTCGAAGCCCCAACTCCAAACCCCAAACCCTAAAATGCCAAGCCCCAAACCCTGAACCTGAATTAAATCCTGATGCCTAAGCCCTCGCATGGTAATTTCCATGAATAGGGGGAACCCTAATCTAGGCCCCAAGACGCTATGATTCTGATTATAGGCACTCCCCAAAATGGTACCCCTTATCTCGGGAAACACCCTAAACCCTAAGCCCTAAACCCATAAGCCCTCTTCTCCGAGTGCCCCGGCCCGGCGCCGGCCGGGTGGCGCAATTCGCAGGGCAGCAGACCCACGGCAGCCTGGAGGCAACCTACCTACAAAGTGTTTTCTGACCCTCCAGGTAGGGGGAGGGGTTAGGGTTTAGGGTTTAGGGTCTGGACCCTAAAATGTTGAAGGCGTGGTCTTGGGTGGTGGAGAGTCATGGAGAGTCTGGCAAGCAATCCTGTTCAAAGTGCGCCTAGCGCCTAGCATAAGTTCGGTACTAACAGTCTGTACTAGGGCTTATATTAAGGGCTATATACTAACATAGCTGTTATCTAACCGTTCCTGGGTGGGGGGCAGTACCGAACACATCAGTCTGCTATAACGCAGAGAAAAACAGGATGAAGAATTTGTTTTCTACAGCGTTCATTTGGAGGTTTACACCTAGTTGCAACTGGGGTCATAAACCGAGCTCCTCATTAATGACTAAATCGTAAACCCTAAGCCCTTGATCCTAAACCCAAAACCCTGCCCCTAATGTAGAAGATTGAATCATTACCCATATCATTTGAGGTCTAGTCGAGATATACTATACTAGATTTAAACAACTGTAGACCTCAAACCAAAAACCCTGCGCCTAATGTAGAAGCCATGTATTCGTAAACTCTAAAACCGGAGCACCATGTTTTCTACATTAGGTGTAGAGCTTCCACATTAGGAGTAGAGCAAAGTGCTTGGGGAAGGTTTGGGTGCCAAGAACAGAGGCCCTCTTTCATGGCCCAAAAAACCCTAGATCTAAAGCAAACAGATGCCCTAAAGCAGATGACAAGGTTTGAGATTCGAAAAAATTGTAAGGTTTAGGGTTTACATATAATATAGGTGTTATACAATAAAGATAATGGAGCATCAAATGGAAACTACTATTTAGGGTTTAGGGTTTGGGGTTCAAGGTTTCCAAAAAGTGTGAGTTTGTCCGTTGCCTGCATGTTACAAGGGGATGAACTTATTGATGAGGAGCTAGAACAAGGTAGAGAAACTACATCTAAAATCAACAAGTGAGGCCATGCATACAGCTTCTCGTTCCTATGTACAACAACACTGAAG